ACTAACACGGGCCGTTTACGGGGCCTTACATGGGCAACTGTTGGCCTCAGGCCGACTTGTTTGATATTCCGGGGTGGGTTTTGGGGGGGGGGGGGTACCATATGTATATATATATATATATACACACCTGTAAATACCTATGTGTATATGTACCTATATATATATATACATATGTCTGTATATATATATATATATACAGAAAGCGTCCAGAAGCGTCAAGCGTCCATATATGCATATATATATATAGGTATCTATGTGCATGCCCACAGATATGTGTTTCGCATTAGGTCCCGGATTCTGTGAACCTCCCATGGTGGGCACTGAAGTTTTCAGTATGCTTTTGCTAGCTCGGGTTTTGCCGGCGTTCCATCATCACCCTAAACCCCCCAAACTCTCAACGGCATAAGTCGCGAACCCTAAGGCCCTCACGAGCGAAGCCTTATGGAGAGGTTTGAAGAATTAGTCCCTATAGAAGTATACCATAATACACCCCGAAACCCATTCCAGTTATTAAGGCCCCTGCATGAAACCCGAAGGGGGCCCTGGGTGTGCAAGCCCTACCATGGCCAGGGCCGTTCAAGTTGAGCGCCGTTGGGAGAACGATCGCTGAGGGCCTGTGCCGTGATCAATGCAAGGGTTACTATACAGGGTTCTAGAATTTGGGGTCTGGGGCTTGAGGCTTAGGATGCAATTTCGATCTTTAGGGTTTAGGGCATAGTGTTTTAGAAGTAAGAGTAAAGTGATCCATGGTACACGTGCCCTGACAACACTTTTCGGTATGAATGTGACTGTTGCTAACTGGTGTCAGCATTGCTTATGTGCCTGTGTGTAACGTTGTTTTCATATTTAGCAGTACATTGCTCTACTAGATGGCGGAAAACGCGTCGCTGTTTCTGAGTATGTGCGCAGAAGCATCGTCGCTCAGCGTTTGAGACGGCTTTCCTCCAGCATGGCCTATGGCTGTCATGCAGCCACTGGTGTTCCTCTGTTGTCTTTCTCAACGTCGTTATTTCTCTGCCTCGAGTATTCGCTCTATGCTAGGATGCTGCTTCTGATTCTGCTACTGCTACTCCTACTCTTACTCCAACTCCTATACTCCTACTACTGCTCCTACTCCTGTTACTCTTACCGCTACGACTATTGCTGCTGCTGCTGCTGCTGCTGCTACTACCAACTGCTACTGCCACTGCCACTGCTAGTGCTACTGCTGCTGTTACTACTTCTCCTCCTACCGCCACGACTACTGCTACTCCTACTACTACTACTGCTACTACTACTACTAATACTACTACTACTACTACTACTACTGCTACTACTATACTTACTATACTGCTATTACTACCACTACTACGACTACTACTACTTTTTCTTTTTCGACTACAACAACAACTACTACTACTACTACTACTACTATTACTACTACTGCTACTGCTACTGCTACTACTACTAATACTACTACTACTACTACTACTACTACTGCGTTACTATTGCTATTACTATCACTATCATTATTACTGTTACCATTACTATTACTACTATTCCTACTACTATTCCTACT